AGAGCAAATTTAAGGTCAGTAATAGCATAGACATCACAAAATGAGATTGACCACTTTTAAATAATTGTGTTTATTAGATCAGATTAGATTAACACTGGTACAGAAAAGCACCAACACTTTGACACTCCAGGGACAAAAAAGAGAGCTGGCAGTAGCAGCCATCAGGCATCAGGTGAAAAGACTTTGGAGGGAACCCAGGCACAGTAAGCAGCAGTAATGAGGCAGACACAACTGATGCTTCCAGTGAATTATCTCAGGGAGAGCTGCTGGAAGATTTGCTACGGTCAAGCTACCACCAGGCTCAAGGTGGTAATACTGGTGGTTCTTTTCCATGAATGCATGTGGTATTGCAGCATACTGGAGCAATCGGTTGTGAAGCACCCATAAACTTAAATGCCTTCTTCTCCACAGTGTCTTCAGAGGAAAGTTCGGGAGATGAGCAACCAGTTCAGTACTGCTGACCTTTCATGCTGCATCACTAGAAAAACTCAAGGATGAGACTAAAGGTAAAGGGGTTTAGCACTGGAGAACAGGTTGGATTTAGTTCCTACATCTACTCACCTACAGGAAATGGCACTGTAGAAAGCAAAAAGCTGCACAGAGCCAACATTACTTTTATAGTGGGTTAATAATTCACATCCTTAGAACCACTTATTGAAATATGATAGTGAAAAAATGGTAGCTAGCAGATTTTATATCAAGGATAGGCAAATCAGGCCTTGACTTCAAGAGATAATGTCAATTTCACTGTCACTTTTTATGAAATGATTTTAAATTAGGTTCAGACAAGTATCTCTGAAACACCCTGTCAAATATTTTGTTTCCTTTTTTTTTTTTTTTTTTTTTTAATTATTATTTTTGATATTAATTATTTTAGTTAAATTTTTTTTCCCCTCCTTGTTATGGTGAAAATCTAAACAAATGAGAGGCCAAGCTGCCTACAGTCAAACTCAATGTACATTATTAATGAAAGACATAGTATGGCTGAAAATAAGCACTGGAGAAGAGAAGGCTGCTTGGTGGCCTCATTGCAGCCTTTCAGTACCTCAAGGGAGCCTACAAACAGGAGGGGAGTCAACTCTTTACAAAAGTAAGTAATATCAGGACAACGGGGAATGGTTTTAAACTGAGCGAGGGAAGATTGAGGTTGGATGTCAGGGGGAAGTTCTTTACAGAGAGAGTGGTGAGGTGCTGGAACAGGCTGCCCAGAGAGGTTGTGGATGCCCCATCCATGGAAGTGTGCAAGCCCAGGTTGGATGGGGCCTGGGCAGGCTGGTCTAGTATTAAAGGTGCAGGTTGGTGGCCCTGCATGCAGCAGAGGGGTTGGAGCTTGATGATCTTCAAGGTCCCTTCCAACCCAAGCCATTCTATGATTCTGTGACTATGGAGCATGGCTGCACTTCCTTCCCCCACCTTGGAATCTAGATGTTTTCAACTGCATAGCATAAAAAAATGTGCATGCTTATAAACATACAGGAAGAACAAAAAAGGATTGGGAATAAAGACTGCCTTCTATTCCAATTGGGTATGTGAGTCACGCTTTCAGACAGCAGTGGGATGTTTAAGGTTTTACAGTGCCCAGTACTGAAATGGGAACTCTGCTATGACCCTGATGCCTTTGCACTCTCTGGCACAGAACAACTTGAGGTGAACAAGCCTGTTATTAACACATTGCTCAAAGGCTGTCTGACAATGGCTGCAACATATGTTTTGGCAGCTTCTGAAGGGGTGCCAAATGAGAATCCTCCACTGCCAGAGAAACGGCTACATAGTTTGTTGGCCCATGCCTTGTTTGGGGGAATTAGTTACACAGACTTTTTTCTCATTCCAACATACATAATCACACTGTGTATCACACTGTGTATGGACTTTTTTTTATATATATGTGTGTGTGTCTTTCCACAGATTATTTCCTTTCTTTTTCCAGTTCACATAGATTATCTGCAGTATTGGTGAGAGAATTATGCATTACAGCTAACAGTGGCAAAGAGGCTGCCCTGGCAGTCCAAGCATTACATTCAAGTTTCTTGCACACTGGAGAAGCCACAGGTTCTCTGCTGGTTGCAGAATCAGATGTTCAGAGGGTAGCAGAGATCCACGCTGGCCAGTAGAGCTTTGCTACCACAGTGTGGTACTTGTGCCCGAGCAGCGTGAAAGCTCTTGTAGCAATCTACACCTGTCAGCTTTCCTCTTCCAAATGTGTGCCCTGCTCACTTTAATTAGTTAAAGAGGGTGTTCACTGGCAGGAATGAACTAAGTCAGAGCAATGGCTGTTGGTAGAATAGTTTCCTGCCTGTATACATGCTCCTGAGTGAAAGCCAGCTTCTGCCAGGAGCTTCCCTTTGGTGCTTGACTGCAGAGTCTTGCCCTAGCTCCAAGCCCAAGCATATTCCCACCTTGTGGAGGCTAAGCACAGCTCCAGCTGAGTCTGGGTGCACCCAGATACAGGCACCACCCAGTTTCTGCAATGCATGGTAGCTGGAAGATTGGACAGATTTGGAGTGCAACCCCTCCACATGGGAGGGGGTCCGGAAGTAGGCTATGGGGCATCACCATTTTCTGATGAAATGGCTTCTAGAAAGCTGGGAAGCAAGAGAAAAGGAAATATCCCAAACACACAAGCAATCACTTGCGGCTGGCAAAGGCTTCCATCAGACACCAAGTCTGACTCAGGGAGGCACTGGTCATACAACATCTTTGGCTTCAGCAGGCAGAAATGGAGCAAGAGCACTCCAGCCATTCCTGAGCATATCTGCCATTAGCAGCAATATTACCAAAACAGAGCCTTCCAGCTGTGTGACTTTGAGTAAACCCTTTGGTCTCAGATACCTGGGTCTCTGGGCTGTGAGATGGTCAGGATGTGTCTGCTCATAGGAAGGTGGCCAGCAGAACTGTGAAATGGAGCCAAAGTGGTGCGAGGCTCCATTTTTCCATCTTGCAAAAACAAGAATTTTCTGCTCTGTTGTCATGCATCTGCAGTACAGAAATTGTATTATTCTTGTTGTAATTCCATGCACGCACTCTGCCTTGCTTATAAACTGAAATACAAGTTGAGATCTACCTGCTTAATATAATTCAGTACTTGCAGTTTTGTGTCATTATAGCTGATTCATTTAATCAGGTGTATGAAAACTGTTTGTCATCTGCTACTTTACCTGACATGGAATTTTGGGGGATATTTGCATAAAAAGCAATACAGATTTCTATGTTGTTTATCTCATAATACACAGATTACCATGTGATTTATTTTATCTTCTTTGTACACAGCCTGCTTTACTCCCTCAGAGATTTCTCTGCACCAGGAAAAATTAAAAAAAAAATAAAATGTAGTGCTCATAGAGACCTCTCATTTTTCTAAAATGTCATCATCCCATGACTTCTTCATGCCAGCCTGGAGAAGGCTGAGCCCATGCAGCTCCCCATAGCCACCACACCCTCACTGGCTGCATTTCTCGCAGTGCAGGCTGAGAACATGATCTATCCCCACTTCTCTGCAGGCTTATTCTTTCCACCAGTGCTTATAGATGGATGCTGGGCTGAAAGCAACCTCTTTGGGCCAAAAATGTTGTTTATGAGAATCTGCTTTCAAAGCTGGGAGAGAGAGATTTCTTCCTTCCAGCAGGAATCAACAAAAAAAAAATTGTGCCCAGCACTGCCCCTGGAGAGCATCTATGGAGAAGACAAGATATGCCCACATCCCTGGGACCTGAAAGGCATTCCCAAGGCACATTTTAGGGCTGGTCTTCAATAAAACAGGTTTTCCTCACAGGAGAGACAGTTTAGTAGTTAGAAGACACTAGTGTGCTCAATTTGCCATTTTGTTCTTTTGCTGTAGAGACTTGACTTGGTTCCTGAGAAATGTTTTCTTTTAAATTAATCTGATTATGTCTATTTCTGACTGCCAGGTCCTGGGTGCACATCTGCCCTCATCTTCTCTGGGCTTTGAGTAAAGCACATAAGTTTCTGACGGTACAGGACAGCACCAGGCTTTCTGTGCCTCTGGTCTTCTGCTGCTGTGGTTTTCAATCAGCACTGTCAAACTGCATCATTAGTCCTTTCCTATAACTGCTAAGAAGAAACTGTGTGCAGCTGATGATAACATGGCAGTAGGCCATCTGCTCCAGCCCCTCTGCTCTGGCATGAACACCCAGAGCAGGGTGCCCCAGGGCCATGTCCAGGTGGCCCTGGGAGATCCCCAGGAAGATCCCAAAGCCTCTGTGCAGCCTGTGCCAGTGCTCCATCACTGCACAACACAGAAGGGCTCCTGGTATTCAGAAGGAACCTCCTGTGCTCCAGTTTGTGCCCATGGCCTCTGGTCCTAGCATCAGGCACCACTGACAGAAGTGGATCCTGCCTCTTGGCACTCTCCTTCCAGGTATTTGTAGACATTGGTGAGATCCCCCCTGCCCCCTCAAGCTTCCTCTTCTCCAGCTGAGCACCCCCAGCTCTCTGAGTCTCTCTTCACAGGAGAGGTGCTCTGCTATGTCCAAGTCCCTCTTGAACTGGGAGGCACAGAACTGCACCCAGCACTTCAGGTGCAGCCTCACCAGTAATGAACAGAAAGGAAGGATCACCTCCCTTGACCTGCTGCTGATACTTTGCCTAATGCAGCCCAGACTGAATTTTGCCATCTATTTTCTCAGACACAACATCTGTTTCCATGCAAACAAGAAGAAAATTGGTGATTAATGCACAGCTCCACTCCTCGGCAGCTGGCCCCCAGATCCTCCTCCATGGTGTGAAATGTCTCTGTGGCAAACATAAGGTTCAGATTTTAAATGAGGAATTAATGAAAGTTTGCCTTTCCTTCTTGTTGTCCCTTTAAATTTAGTTTCCATGGAAACGGGTCTGGAGAGGCTGCCTGGAGGGAGCAACCAAGAAGAAATCCCGGGCTTGCCGCTTTCTGTGCTGGTTTACCAGCCGAGCCACTGCAATAGCCAGGCTCTCTCAGACGTGTTCACTATTGTTTTTTTGTGTTGGGATAAGATCGAAGATTCCCCATGGAGAAACTTCTGCAGCAAATCACGAGCCTGTTCCTCATGTTGCCTTCACATGGCCCTGCGCCACTTGTAAACCACACTCCTCTCTGCTAATTGCTTGTCCTAGGGTGGGGATGAGACACAACATGAAACCACCAGTCCTGACACCATGCTGTTGATGTCACTCATGCTAGAAAAAATGCACTCCACTTCTCTGTTTTATTTATTTATTTTTTCAGAGAGGTGGCAGGTGTGATCAGAGCATGCAAACAGACCTGAAAAGTGGAGATAAGTTTGTCACTAATTTGCTGTTTATCCAAGGAGAAAACAGTGTTGGAGAGCACCTCACTCCTGCCAGAGCCACCTCTGGGTATTTTGCAGCAGGGCAAGGGGTGGGACATATGCTGACAAATGGCCTGAGAGAATTCAGCTGTAGGTGTGGGTGCAGTGTTTCACAGAGTTAAGCTGTCAGTGAGGTTGTGGGCTGCATCTCTGCCTTGGTGGATACTCAGCCAGGCCTTTGGGTCTCCACTAGAGAGATTTCATTGGGCCATTCTCAAAGAGACTTGGGGAACAAACTGTCCTATGTACTGCACAGAGAAGCAGTGAAACAGCATCCAAAAGCAAACTGACAAGTGATGCTCTTCATCAGTGTAAATGCACTCTTTATCCAGTAGAGTATTTAAATCCAGTACCCCTTCTCAAAGCAGAATTAACTGCACAAAAGCCAGAAATTGTTAGTGTTCGAGAATCCACCCCCTCCTTGGGCAACCTTCTTACTTGAAGTAAGAGCCTTTTTCAGAAAGCTAAGCACAATTATTCACTTTTTATCCATGGGGGACTCGTGGAACAAATCTCCCTCCTCCCTCGTACATTCATACACGTGAAGGTTAGCATATTCCTCATCCTCTGCCCCGCTACCCTTGGCTGCAGTGCCCTGTGATGAAGCATCCAGTTTCACACCCAGCTGAACCTCTGTCCAGTGCTTCCCACTCTGCCTTCTCTCTTCTGCTCCCTTCACACTGCCTGGGCTGCTGTGTAGCAGAACACATATATATGATAACGATCTGCTGATAACAGATTGAAGGAAACGAGGACAACACCGCATTTTTTTCTTTAATGACCCATCTCAACCACTTCACTTTCCCTCTGGGCTCCTTTATGCAACCCATCTCATTGTTTCTTCCAGCATTTCCTCCAGAACCCGAAGCTACGTGGATAGATCGGAACTCCCGAGTTCACCCCACAACTCTCGATTAAAAACAACGCACCCTGCCCGCCATTTTGTGTGGCCGTCACACGCCGGGGCGGGGACTCGAACCCGCCGCCGCTCCGCCCTTCCTCTCCGCCATTCGCGGGCGGAGTAACTTGTCCGCCGCGGGCCACCGTCTGCCGGCTGTGCGCTGCCGTGCGGGTCCGGGCGGGTACAGTGGTAGCAGGAGGAGCCGTCCTGCGTGTGAGGCCAGTCCGGCCCGGCTGCCGCGCCGCCATGAGCGAGAAGGGCGAGCTGGACCTCACGGGGGCCAAGCAGAACACGGGCATGTGGCTGGTGAAGGTGAGTGGCCTCCGAGGCCTTGCTGCGCTGAGCCGGGCCGCGTTCGGCGCCGTGGGCTCGGCAGGGCCTTGTGCGGCCGTCCTGAGGCGCTGCCAGTAAGTGCGGCGAGACCGGGGCGAGGGGAGTGAGGAGAGTTATCCCATCCAACCTGGCCTCGGGTGCCTCCAGGGCTGGGGAGAACGCCGCTCTCCTCCTCTTCCTCTTTCAGAAGCAGAAGGAACAGGCGTGGTGCTTTAGTGTGAAGGAAGATGTAAAGACGCGACAGTTCCCAAGCGCTGGTTCTGAGTGGTGAGAGGTGTAGCACGTACTTGAGCTGCCATGATGCCCAACCATGTCCCTCACTGTCACATCTGCACATTCCTCAAAAACACCTCCAGGGATGGTGACTCCACCTCCCTAGGCAGCAAGTTCCCTAGGCGTGCCTCACTGCTGTTTCTGAGAAGAAATTTTCCTAATATCCAACCTGAACCTCCTGTAGAGCAAATTAGGGCCATCACCTCTCATCCTATCTCTGTTACCTGGGAGAAGATGCCAAACCCCACCTTGCTACAACCTTCTTTCAGGAAATTGTAGACATTGTAATGGCTTATCCACGGAGTTAGAAATCAAAGTGACAGAGAAAGCTGCAGAATGATATGATGACACTGATAGACAAGAAGGTGAAATGACAAATGAAAATTGGAGATGAGAAATGTAAGCTGACATGCATAAGCTATGCTAATTATTCTTACACAATGGTTGGATCTCTCCTGCATGTTGTCCTTGAGTCAGAAGCTTGTGATTTTACAGTAGGTGTGGATAGCTCTGTGAAAATGCCACATCAGTAACAGCCAAATGAGCAGATTCAATTTTAGGCATGACTACAAACAGCACGGAGAACAAAAGATGAAATATCATGCCACTGTATGGCCTGTACCTGGCCTTATAATCCCTGCAGTGAGAGGGACATAACAGGCTTAGAAGGTCAGAGAAGAGCTTGAGGAATGAGGAATGATATCTGTGTGAGGGAACTCCTCAATATGCTATTATCGTTCAGGCTGAGAACATGATTAATTGTCAGTCCTACAGATGTCTAAGAATAGTGAATAACTTTGCATGAGACTGGGGAAAAAAGTGAACAGGAGAAGGTGAACAGGTAAGAGTCAGCTCTAATGCGATAATGAGGGGAGTGACAAATTAGTTCATTTGGTGGACATTCAGAGCAGACAAATCAGGTACTGCTTTGCACAATGTGTATTTAAGTTCTGCAACATTTTGAAGTAGGAAGATGTAACTGTCAGACCTTTGCAGAAACTGAAAAATCCATTAGGCAGATGGGTGCAAGCATACTGTACTGAGATATTACAAATGAAGATGCTTTCAAGACCACTGAGTAAAAAATCACAGAAACTAGAAGAGCGTGCTGTGGAAATATCTGTTCTTCTGATGTTTTCTGCTCTTCCATATGTGCCTGCAGTTGATTGCAGCTGAGGAAAGGATTCTGAACTCAGTTGTCTTAGAATCATGGAATGGCCTGGGTTGAAAAGGGCAACAAAGATCATCATCATTTCAACCTCCTGCTATGTGCAGGGTCACCAACCACCAGACCAGGCTGCCCAGAGCGACATCCAGCCTGGCCTTGAATGCCTCCAGGGATGGGGCATCCACAACCTCCTTGGGCAACCTGTTCCAGTGCGTCACCACCCTCTGTGTGTGGAAAAAATTACTGTCTTTTAGTCTGATATGGTTTAGTGGTTCTTGAAGCAAGACAGGAATGTTCAGGCACATCAGTGCTTGCAGCTGATACTGCTCTTACAGCACAGGGTGCTGCCTGCTTTAATGAGAAAACTGAATTAAAGGAACACCTAAGTATGGTTCGTGCAGGTATGTATTCATGCACGTGGTCTGAATTAATAATTTGGCTGTCATCTTGCATAAATAAAAAAATAGTAGAAAATTGCTAACATTGGTAAACCATAGCAAGATGTAAAAGCTACAAAGAGAAGTAATATATAGAGCAAAGTAAAGTCCGTTTAGTATTAGGCGTTGGAGTTCTTAATTTCTTTTTCTGTCTGTGTTTTTTGTAGTTTTGTTTTTAATTTGCTGCATTGGTTTATATTAAAAAAGAGGATAGTTTTGAACATGCAAAAGAGGAAATAATATAAAAGAAAACAGAAACATAGACTAAGCTCAGCTTCTTACTTGATTTATGATGTATGTACAGCATACAGATAGGATAGCTATGTATGTAAAGAGCAAAGTACACAGAGAGGAAATGGTCAGTGGTTTATTAGAGGTAGGGGCTGCCTGTGTGTTTTTCTCTAAGGGCAGCTGAGAGATGCATGGAGCAGGGCCCTTGTGCTGGAGCCCTGGTGTCCTTGTGATGTGAACAGCAAGAACAGAACAGCAGTCTTAAGAGGTCTTGAAGTGATGTACCTCTGATTCCTTCTCCTTATTCACTTGTATGCTTTATGGAGAAAAGAGTATTTGCACCTATGAGCCCCAGAATAAAGGCCGCTTGTCTCAAGAACTGTAAGTAATCTTTCAGAGGGGCAGTTCTTCTGTCCACAATTCCGTCTTTCTGGGAGAGTGCATTTTTTCCAAATCCTGGTTAGGATTCTTAGAAAATTCTTGTTGTTCTGGACAAGCTCTTGTTTTCTGCACATTATTTTGAGATTTTATGCGTTGTTCTTACTACATTTTCTGTACGTTAAAGATTCTGAAAGTGGACTAGCTTCTGCAAGTTCAACTTTTAGCATGGTAAGATTAAAAGGAACTTTCCAGTTAAGCATTCTCTACAGAAGTAAGACATTATTTGTCTTTCCTGTGATTGCTTATGCCATTGGCACGGAGCTGGAGATTTTAGCTTGTGGTTTTGAGCGTGCCATCTAATTTTAACTGAAGTAACCATGTACAGATAGAAAGAATCCTTTGATCGTTGTTCTTCATTACCCTTTTTCCTCGTTCTTGCACAGTAGCCATTGATTCAGATAGGCTGGCAGAAAGATGATTTATTGCATCCTTTGAGTCTGTGCAGCTGAAAGGAATATGATTGATCTGCAGCTTCTCAGTCTGAATAAATTCCCTGTCTGATCATATTGTATAGCAAGTCAGTGATTTTAATGGCATCAGAGTCCTTCAGTCCTTTTCCACTTATACTGAATGCGTATCTACTCATTACCTGGCAGTATAAATTAGATACTGACGAGGTATGAGCACATCATAATATTTCCATTGAGTCAGCCAGAGCACATGTCAAAGCATTTATCGTGTTACTAGAAAGAAAATGAGATTTGATTTGGCATGAAATCTGTTATAGAAAGTTACCGCTTCAAAAACTGAATAAAATATATCTTAATAGGTTGTGTTCACTTATTGCTTTGTTGTGTGCTTGTGACATGATTGACCCAATGCTAGCAGCTTGTGGCACCTGGACTGATGCTGAGTTTGGCTGGGAAGTTGGAGGACATTGCTGTCTATCTGTTCTGCAGCTGTCAAGGTGCAGTAAGGCTAAGGGAAAGAGCTAAGCACCAGTTCAAAGATATTTTGTATGCTTGTTTGTTTTGTTAAGCAAGAACAGCTTCCTTAACTGTTCTTCCTTAACTTTTGTTAAGGAAGAACATAGAATCACAGAATCACCAAGGTTGGAATAGACCCACGGGATCATCCAGTCCAACCATCCACCCATCACCAACAGTTCTCACTAAGCCATGTCCCTCAACACAACATCCAAATGTTCCTTGAACACCTCCAGGGTCGGTGACTCCACCACCTCCCTGGGCAGCCCATTCCAGTGCCTGGCCACTCTTTCAGAGAAGTAGTATTTCCTAATGTCCAGCCTAAATCTCCCCTGGCACAGCTTGAAGCCATTCCCTCTGGTCCTATCACCAGTTACACGAGAGAAGAGGCCGACCCCCAGCTCACTACAACCTCCCTTCAGGCAGTTACAGAGAGCAATGAGGTCTCCCCTGAGCCTCCTCTTCTCCAGGCTGAACAATCCCGGCTCCTTCAGCCGCTCCTCATAAGCCCTGTGCTCCAGATCCCTCACCAGCTTTGCTGCCCTTCTTTGAACCCGCTCCAGGGCCTCAATGTCTTTCCTGCAGTGAGGGGCCCAAAACTGGACAGAGCACTCGAGGTGCGGCCTCACCAGAGCTGAGTACAGGTGCACAGTTGCTTCCCTGTTCCTGCTGGCAGCACCGTTCCTGATGCAAGCCAGGATGCCACTGGCCTTCTTGGCCACCTGGGCACACTGCTGGCTCATGTTCAGCCGAGCATCAATCAATACCCCAGGTCCATTTCCTCCACGCAGTCTTCCAGCCACTCTGCCCCAAGCCTGTGGCTTTGCCTGGGGTTGGTGTGGCAATAGTGCAGGACCCGGCACTTGGTCTTGTTGAACCTCATCCTATTGGCCTCAGCCCAGCTTTCCAGCCTGTCCAGATCCCTCTGTATGGCCTCGCTACCCCCAGGCAGATCCACACTTCCAGCCAACTTGATGTCATCCACAAACTTACTGAGGGTGCACTCAGTGCCCTCATCCAGGTCATCAGTAAAGATGTTGAAGAGGACAGATCCTGGCACCAACCCCTGGGGAGCACCACTCATGACCGGTCACCGACAGGATTTAACTCCATTCACCACCACTCTCTGTGCCCGGCCCTCCAGCCAGCTCCTTATCCAGCCAAGAATGCATCTGTCCAAGCCACGGGCTGTCAGATTCTATAGGAGAATGCTGTGGGTGACAGTGTCAAAGGCTTTGCTGAAGTCTAGGTGGACCACATCAACAGCCTTTCCCTCATCCAGCATGTGGATCACTAGATCATAGAAGGAGATCAGGTTGGTCAGGCAGGACCTGCCCTTTTTGAACCCATGCTGGTTAGGCCTGATCCCCTGGAAAGGTTATTAAATGGAAGGTTATTATTAAATTGATTTGAACTTTAGAACTTTGCAGATTACTGTTTGTCAGAACAGACAAATTGGAATAGAATCATAGAATGGTTTGGGCTGGAAGGGACCTTTAAGATCATTTAGTTCCAACCCCCTGCTATAGGCAGGGACACCTCCCTCTAGCCCAGCTTCCTCAGCTCTGGAATAAAACTTGGCTTACTTTTATTCTCTGCAGGACACAATCAGAGTACAAAGTGCCAATTTGCTGCTTGAAACTAAATATCACAAATAGAATGTGGTATGTTTCTCAGTGTCTGCATCTTGCAACGTTTCCCTACATGGGCACAGATATTTTCAGTAGCTGTGGACTTTGTCAGCTGGAATTAACTTTACTGTGCCAGTAACATGAACTGAAGCATTCCTGCAAAAATAAAGAGTGCAGATTTGCCCCGATTCGTCCTAAGTATGTGAAGAAGAAAGGTACATAATTCCTATACTGAAACACTTCTTTAGTGCGTGGTACTGGTGCAGAACAATGATTTTTCCTGTAACAGTTCACCAAGCTTCAGGTTTTTGAGATAATGTTCTTGCAGTGACTGCTACATCTGTACTTAAGAGGAGTTTGTAGGAAGTAGAAACTTCAATTAGACTGCTTTCAGCTATTTCCTTTTGAACACAATCCATAATTCCCATATCACTTGAACCATCTTACAGACAGTTGCAAATTGTCGGGTATGAGATTGTCCTCGTTGCCACAGGTGTGTGTTCCTTCTTTTGATGTGTTACTTCTATATCTAATAGCTTGTGTGTGTAGAGGGTAAATTGCTCCACCTCACATTTATTATAATGACGTGTTATGTTCAGTCTGTATTAAAAGCCATCATTGGAAAGACAGCCATAATTGCTGAATGGTGGGGAAAAAAATCCTACGTGATTGCACTGTGCTAATAACGGTTTGGCTGACTTGTGGCAAGGAAAGATAGGCATGGGCTGGAGGACTAGTGCTGTTCCCATTGCCCTGGGGCTGAATTCAGCAGTGCTGCTCTCTGGGACAAGGCTGTGGCACTTTCTGAAGTCCTCTGGAAATGTGCCCTCACGCCACCACTCTGTTTTAGAACTGTTTGCCAGCTAAACAGAGACAGCACAGGCTATTGACAGAAGCACTTAACATTTTGATTTCCCTGAAGAAAATGTGACTCATCTTCTTTAAGCTTGTCTGGTCTTTAAGCAGTACCCCTGGGTAACCCTGCTGAGCACTGGCCACATTCTTCTGGCCTTGTTATCTCCAGAAAAATGACGTGCTGTCGCAGGTGCACCTGCCCTCCAGGATGTGTTTGGAAACCTACAGTGTGTGTGTGCAGCATGGCAGCTGCAGCGAGGTGTGAGGCTGGCCATGGAAGAGCCAGGGTTACCTGGCAGCAATGAGCTGGTCTGTTGTGGCCAGAGAGCAGAGGGGCAGGTCATGATTTCAGCTCACGCTGTGTTAGTAGGAAAAGAAATGAGCCACCTTTCAGCTTGTTGGTTTGCGCCTTGTGCTGTGAGGCACCTTTACTGCTTGTTCAAGATTCAAGATAGTTCAACGCTAATCCCTCCTTTGGGACAAACATACTCTAACCTGGCCTTATTTTAATGCTTTCTTATTCTTTTTTTTCCTCTCCCAGTGGAATAAATTGTCTACTGTGTGCACTTCAAACTATGTTCTAAAGTGGTCAGTCTGTGAGCATTTAAAGTTTGTTCACGTACACAATTTATACAGAATTTTAAAATCTGCTTTTTTGAAATCTGTTGTCTTTTAGGTCCCCAAATACTTGTCTCAGCAGTGGAGTAAAGCCTCAGGAAGAGGTGAAGTGGGAAAGCTGAGGATTGCCAAGTAAGCCTTTACTGTACCTTCACTGTTTCCAGTTCTTAGCCAGTGTACTTCTTCTAAGTTACCTGCAGTAAAACAGATAATGTTGCACCTCTTATGTTACATAACTTTGTTTTTCACAAACACTGTGTGCATATTTCTCTATAAACTGAAAAAACCCACTTGTATATTGATTATACATAAATACATGAAATTATACTGGGGAGTGGCTGTAACCCATAACGTGGTGATTGATTTCTTAAACCCAAGAAATATGCACATCTAACTGGAAAATCTCCTATAACTTATTGATGTGCTATTTTGCTGCTTCTGTTCTCACCTGTTGAATTTTCCCATAGATTTTTGGGTGTCAGCATCCAAAAACAATTGAGCAGCTCAGAAATCAAAATGAGTAACAAAGCTAGAATCTGAATTTGCTTTTTCATTGGGGAAGGCAAAGCTTGTGGAAGTAGAAACTAAAACGTGAAATATTTTCTTTTGCAGAAATCAAGGAAGAACAGAAGTAAGTAACTATTAAATCCAAAGGCTCTGGATGTGTTATATTTTGAACTCTAAGAATTGCTTATAACTTGATGTTTTCTAATATTGTATTTTTCATTAAACCTGTGATAAAGCAGTGCATCACACAGCTGAGAGTAGAGAATTCTATTTATACCTCTGCCCGTATGCTTACTGTGGGATTTCCCTTTCAGGGGAGAGTCAGGTTGGGTATTAGGAAAAGGTTCTTCACTGGAGGGCAGTGGGCATGCAACAGGCTGCCCAGGGCAGGGGTCATGAGGCTGAGCTGTCAGAGTTCAAGAAACCTTTGGACAGTGCTCTCTGACATAGGGTTTGATCTTGAATGGACCTTAGTGGAGCCAGGAGTTGGGCTCACACTGATCCATGTTGGGTCCCTTCCAGCCCAAGATATATTCTGTGATTCTATGACTTCCATAAAATCTCTTTGTTCCTGAAGTTTGCTTAGAATCATAGAACTGGAAGAAGCTCTGACCCAACCTATGACAGGGAAGCAAACCATGTTCACCGTTTGAGAACTTGTACAAATTATAGAATAAGTGGAGAGATTACTGGAGGTCTGCATGTTTTGGTGGACTTTTCTAGGCTGGAATATGGGCCATGCTTCCTGATTTTTGTGAGCCCCTTGCCCAAGCCTTGATATTGATGAGAGTCGTGGAATGCATAGAGCCCAGCAGTGAGGAACCCCAGAAAACAGCTGGCTTTGCAGGGATGCTGGAGCTGTGTGGCAAAGTGAGGCTGAGCAGGATGTGCAGGAAAAGTATGTGATACTGATCTGAACAATCCTTCATCAGGTTTCTTGCCATATCCCACAGCTAGGGATTCTGCTTACCCAGTCACTCCAGTACCTCCTCAGAATCTTTATTAGGCCTGTGATGTAAGTACAGCAAAGGAGCTGTATTTGAACTTCTAATCTACGTGCAGCTCAGAGTTCCCAGGCTAATAACACTTGCTGTGCACATTAGCACTTTCTTGGGGAATAAACTGTCTGTGTGAAACATTTTAAAGTGCTCATACTAAGTGATGTCTGAAAAGCTGTTTGCCTTAGATTTTAGTAAGTGAAATGAAAACATTCTTTGAGTGAAAGGAGTCATAAAATTATTAAAAGATGAGTAAATTTTACTGAATACATGAAAACTTGTAATACCTTATTTCAACGGGAGATTCATGTATGAAGTCTTGTCTCACTCTATGTTTTTGAAATAGAAATGTTCTATGCTCCTTGCCTTTCCTCTCTTTGTATCTCCCTGTAACTCTTGAAACTGTGTAGTTGAGTCTGTTTAGTAACACTTTGATAATTGTGACTGCTAGGTGTCATTTACTTTGAATGAAGAGCTTGCAAGCATCAGTGATATTGGAGGAAAACCCGCTTCTGTCAGCGCACCAAGGGAGCATCCATTTCTTTTGCAAAGTGTGGGAGGACAGACCTTAACAGTGTTCACAGAAAGTTCAACAGGTAAATTAGAATTGCTGTTATTTGTTATAGTCCTAGTATGCATTATTTCAATGATCTGGATGCTGTAAAGGCCAGAAGACTGAGAAGTAAGCTCTACGCTTTATTTTGTGGTTTTCTGCTTATGTATCATCATTGGTTTTTTGTTTGTTTGTTTTTGTGTTATCTTATACATTTCAACTGTGGGTCTGCTAAAACGAACAGAGAGCATACAGTGCAGTATATTGTCATTCTCTTTTAGACTTTTCATTGGAAAAGTGCTTTTGTGTTCCCATGTGCTTTTGGGAAGACCAAGGTCTCAACTGTGGATTTAGTTTCATAAAAATGATGACTGCTCCTCAGTCCAGTTGAACAGGTTCAATTTAGCAATAAACACATCAGTTTACTACATTTTCTGCAAATAAAACTGTCTTTTCAAGTATGTTAAAGCTTGACAAGGTCATAATACTGAACACTGCAGCAGTAAGGTTGCTTTTTTTTTCTTGCTGAATACCAGTTGCCTTGCATGCCTTAAGTACAGCTCAGGAGCTATCTATGTAATTGATTTGGATGTTCAAGGTAATACATCCTAAATTCCATGTTAGGTTTAAGCTACATGGTGGTGTTATAGTGTATGGTATGCTCAGCAGACTGCCTTGTTTATAAGTCTCATGTGCTGTAAGGTTTTCCACTGAAGTTACATAGCCATGTTTTGGGTGTTGGAGAAAGAAGGAGTCATAAGAGAAGGAGCCCAGAGAGGTTGTGGATGCTCTGTCCCTGGAGGTGTTCAAGACCAGGTTGGATGGGGCCCTGGGCAGCCTGGTCTGGTGCCAGATCTGAAGGTTGGCTGCCCTGCCTGTGGCAGGGGGGTTGGAACCTGATAATCCTTGGGGTTCCTTACAACCCAAAGCATTCTATGATTCTATGATTTCCATTTTGCCAGCTGTAATACAAAGAACTGAAACCTTTAGGTATTAAGATACTGTCCTGCTTTTATTGATTTAATCGATTAAAAAGATAGCATTTCTTAGCAACTACAAAGTGTTACTCAAGGACCATAAATCTATTAAGAAGTTATAATATTAATTAGGAGTAAAGAGTGTTTATTGGAATGGCAAATGTTTGGATGGAAGCACTGAATAAGCACAGAACCTGTCAACACTGTTTTTACTTGGGTATAGCAAGCATGGCTTGCAATTAGTGCAAAATATCTAAACAGTTTTAATGTTGTGTTAAAGCTGGTATTGGCAATACAATCAAAAATAAGTATCAGTGTACTTTTTTGCTTTACTTTTTTGATTGTTTAAAAGAATATGACAAATATATCCAAAGTTCCATCCTGGTTGTTTACCAACACCATCTTCCTGCACCCACTCTTGTGTTGGAATGCCTGTTTCCAGTATGTTTTGAGCTCCATGGACAATTTCAGTCCTGTGAAAACTTAAGTGTCTGAAGAGTGTACCCTAACCAAATGAGATGCTGCTGCCCTCTCTGAGTCCAAATGGAAAAGATCCTTCAATGTTGTGTCAGCCATGGAAAAAGGCTCCAACAACTCTTTAAACACCAGTTAATCCATAGTAAGAAGCAGTTGGAGGAAATTGAAATGCGTAAATTCTTCTGCTCACAGACAAATGTTTGTTTTCAAATTATAATTAATATATTTTGTGCAGAGTGTTGGTGATCTTTCTGCTTTGTCTTCTGCAAAGTACACCATATTACAGATTTGATATGTTAATTTGAAACATGGTCCAGTGGTTAAGCTGGTGTAGAACTGCTGCACCAGTGGCATTTCTGATGTTGCATCTGTAAGGATATATCCGAGGAATAATATGAACAAAATATGAACCAAAAAGTGCTTTCTGCACTGTTGCTCTCACTCAGTACCTTTCCTGAGGACTGAACTTAATCTAAAACAGAGAAAATTGCATATAACAATTGGATTTCCTTTATATTTCCTTTCCAGATCTTTTGTGTCTGCTATCCTCTAATCCTGTGATCCCCATTATGTTGTGACCATCTTCACCAAAGAGTGGTTGGTCACTGGCACAGGTTCCCCAAGGCAGTGGTCACAGCCCCAAAATGCCAGAGTTAAGGAAGCATTTGAATAACACTTTCAGGTCTATGATTTGGATGTGTGGACCCAGGGGTTGGTCTCAATCTTTGTGGACCCTTCCAGCTCAGGATGTTCTCTGATCTTTTTAATTCAGAAAATGAATGAGGGTTGACAAAGCTGCATCTGAAATCCTTTGTAATCAGAGAAGATGCTGTTGGGAGTTTACCCAGCTGGCCAACTCAGCACTTCACATTGAATCTCTTTATCTCTGGTTGTCCTATGTTAGTTAATGGACAGAAATAGCTTCTTTGACGTTCCCTTCGTTACGTCCAGAGTCTAATGAAGTGCAGTTTCTTGATCTTCTACTGCATGTGCAGTTTCTTGATCTTCTACTGCATGTACTAGGTCTGAGCTAATACTTCACTGATGACTGCAGAGGGATCCGGAGCACAGTTGTCTCTGGCTGTCTAGGCTGATTTCAGTATTATTTTAGCATTAAATATGAACTACATTCTGTTCCATAAACATCACCATATGTACATCAACAGTTGCTATGCAACAATGCTATTTGTGCTTCCAGTTATTTTATCTTATCTTTGTCATCAGCTATCACAGTTGTAATTTTTTTGAGCGGGAGGAAAGGAGAGCATTTTGTTCAATACAGCACATTGAAATATATGCAGAATGAATTTTTCTTATGTGTGTGTAGCTAAGAACTATCTAAGGGCAAATCTTAGACTTGGTATGGGGTATATTGGATTAGAAATATCCTTATAAGCTTCCTACTGGTATAAGGAAGTGGTATAATTTGACAGCTTCTGTCTTGACTGAAGAATTGAGAACATGCTTTTGTTAAATATTTAACATTAAACTTTTCCAATTGTGATTGTAAATGAATTCCCTTAACTACTTTAATTTCCTCTTGCTTAATTTTTCTGCCAGCAGGTAGTTAAGACTTGCTGGCACTTAATATAAATAAAAAATGCAGCTATGTTACAGACGATGAGAAAAGTTTCTTACTGAGCTGGTTATTGGAAAAATGTACTACTAATGTGGCTTGGAAAAACACAGACCTTGGCAGACAATTGCATTCCTAACTGTAAAGGACTGATGGACAGATAGAAAGATTTTATACTGTAGGGTAAAATACGGCATAAGATATTTCTATAAATTTGGATGTGATTACTCTTTTTCTTGAAAATTTGCATATTTATTCACAATCCCCTCTTTGTAAGTGAGATTTCCTTCGTGTTTCATTTAGTGACATTTAATTCCTTCATTCTTGTCCCATCTTACTGATGTTTGAGTAAAATGTGCTCAGAGAATTGCGTTGGCAGAATGACTGCTGAACCTTTGCTTCCTCCTGAGAAGCATCCACGCATGGATTGTTTCACCGTCCTGTAGTTCACAGAAGAAGCTCTTACCAAGACGTTCTTACCCAATTTTCTGCATCTTCTTTCAGAATCTCATTTCATGAAGAGCAGCTTCTTTGTTTTATAATCCCATTCAGTGGTACCAATAACTCTGCCTACGTACCAACTCCTTTATTTCCACTGCCCTCCAATGTTCATCTCTTGTCTATTCTACTTAAGCACAACTTCTAATGGGAGTGTCCCTTTTTTTGTGCTGGCACATTAATCATGCCTACTGTATAACTTACAGTGTGCCTGATTGTATTCCAGTGAAAATGATTGTTCAGAGCTTGAATTTTGAAATAGCAGCTATACCCAGCCATTTGAAGAAATCTGAAGGGAAGAAATGACTAATAAGGAGCATCTTTCCAAGATATTTTCTTTCAATAAAGAAATCAGTTATTGCTATAATGACATTTAATTGTTTCCACAGCACTCTGAATCTTGTTGTCTTGGGATACGACTTCCAATCTTATTAGATACGTGTTTGACATCTCACATTTCTCATCAAACTGTTATTTGGAAAATAAATGTCCCCATTGTTTTGCATTTTGGCTCTGCCTGGTCAGGAGTTTTGGTATATGCCTGTATACTTCAGCATATTTTGCAGTTGAGTCTATTTCTTTGAGCTGTCACTTAATGTTCTGGTATCTAAAATGATTTGTGGTCTTAATTAATACTTCCTTGTTCCTTTATTTCCTTCAGTCCTCTATAGACTGGCTTTAGAGTATTCAGGTAACAGCAGGAGAGGAAGCCCTATTGACATCCTTAGAATCAAAAGAAACAATCCACAGCTGCCTTTCAGGTCTCTGGCACTTATGCAAATTTCCAAATATTTGTAAGGATCATAGAGAAGATGCAACCCATTATCAGAGAAGCAGAATATGTGACTCCAGTTTGTCATGTAATTACATTAGGCAGCGTTTTGATGGGTCAGGATTTCATATGTGTTACTGTGACATGCAGTCCACCAAAAAAAAAAGTGTTTGCTTATGGCATCTTTCTTTTCCATCTCTAAAAGATGGAAATGGTATTTACTTACCAGCTTCTTCTGAGCACTGTGAGGATTAACAAATTACTATAAAGTGAGTTCAGCTGGTTGTTGGGGTAAGCTAATTTACTTTTCATTTTTATTATTAAAATTACAGACTCTTAATTCCCATGCAAACATGAAAAATTGTTTTGAGGATATAATGCATGAAATATGTGGAGTATTACTGTGGACTCAATATGATGAGAGTAGAGTTGGCATTCTGCCTACTTCAATGACTTTCAGTCTCTATGATGGGGGAAAAAGTCAGGCACCAGGTTTCTATATGGGAATCTTGTATGTTACAGAGGAGGCTGAACAACTGCAGTCTGCACAGATAAAGCTTATTATATATTATATATATATATATATTATAAGTAGGCACAGTACAACTGCCTTCACCACCTTCACAATGTTTTCATACTCAGAAGATTTCAAATGCAGAGATGTGATCCAGTCATAACAAAAACTATTTTCTAATATTCAGGAAAAGTACTGTTTTTTTGCAATACTTGAATTTTATGTTTTTAATCTCTGTTAAAGGCAGATTCCTCTGCTATATACAGGTGAACACACTCCTCCTGTGGAAGAGGTATCTCTGATTCAAATAGCTATATATCACAGAATCATGGAATGACCTGGATTGAAAAGGACCACAGTGATCATCCAGTTTCAACCCCCTGATGTGTGCGGGGTCGCCAACCAGCAGACCAGGCTGCCCAGAGCCACATCCAGCCTGGCCTTGAATGCCTCCAGGGATGGGGCATCCACAACCTCCTTGGGCAACCTGTTCCAGTACTTCACCACTCTCTGTGTGAAAAACTTCCTCCTAATATCTCACCTAAACCTCCCCTGTCTCAGTTTAAAACCATTCCCCCTTGTCCTATCACTGTCCACCCTCATAAACAGCCATTTCCCTCATGTTCATACGCTCCCTTCAAGTACTGGAAGGCCACAATGAGGTCTCCCTGGAGCTTTCTCTTCTCCAAGCTAAACAAGCCCAGTTCCCTCAACCTTCCCTCATAGGAGAGGTGCTCCAGCCCTCTGATGATCTTAGTGCCCTCCTCTTGACCTGTTCCAAGAGCTCTGCATCTTTCTTGTACTGAGGTCCCCAGACCTGAACTCCAGATGGGGCCTCACAAGAGCCGAGTAGAGGGGGATAATCACCTCCCTCTCCCTGCTGGCCACTTCTTTTTTAATGCAGCCCAGAACACAGTTGGCTTTCTGGGCTGCAAGCGCACACTGCTGGCTCATGTCCAGCTTCTCATCCACCAGAATCCCAAGTCCTTCTCCACAGAGCTGCTCTCAAAGGGTTCTTCACCCAGTCTGTATAAACACCTGGGATTGCCCTGGCCCAAGTGCTACACTCTGCATTTGGCCTTGCTGAACCTCACTAGGTTTTCATGGGCCCACTTCTTTAGCCTGTCCAGGTCCCCCTGGATGGCTTCCCTTCCCTCCGGTGTATCGGCTGCACCATTCAGCTTGGTGTTGTTGGATCCTACTGTTTGCATTGGTCCTCGTGCAATCAACCTTTTCACTGAGAAAATAGGAAATCAGCCATGTTAACCAGTGGCAGGAAGAAGGTTTTGTAATATAGGTCCTGTTTTCAGTTTTGTAAATACCCAGCCTGCAAATGACAGAAACGATCAAACTAACAACTGAAAACTTTTATCTCCAAGTTACAGCAGTAATTCCTTCTTGCTTATACGTAAAGTGTTCTTAATGATAGCTGTTATATGTCTGAGTTAGAAGCAAAATATGAGAGTATTTCATAATTTTTAACTGCGTTTCAGGTGAGTTAAAACATTTTTTATATCCCCTACATTAGGAGAGGTGTAAAACAAACAAATACAGGAGGTGCAGTCAAACTTCACGTTGAGAAATTCATGTGGAGATTTACTTTCTTAGGGCTTTCTATGTTAAATCTTGGTTTACCAAAATCATCTGGCCACTATCTCTTGAAAGGCTGGATTGGAAGTTAACACAGAAAGCTGTTTCTGCTTTGCACTCTGCCATTCACCTAGGTGATAATTTCTTTTTGTTATCCACAGCATGTGTCATTTTTTCTTTTTCTTTCATGCGTACTTTGATTCTCCATGGATCAGTACACATTCCTGATTTATCTGAAACTTATATTTTCACCTGAAGAGTTGGGCTATAGCATCATCTGAGGGCCAGTGATGAAAAGTTGGAAAGGCTGAAAAAATAAATTACTGTGTTATCTGGAATGTTGCAGGAAAGCTAGAGAGGTTGTTCATGCTCGTTATGTACATACTGCTAATTAACAGTATTCCTTTGCAGAGCTTTTTATTTATTTATTTTTTAATATACAAAACCAATGTTCATTTATTTACAGAGACTGGTGAGATAAATGGATATTGTTTCTATCTTAAGTATAATCGTACCACTAGATTTCCATAACTTTGTAGCTTCTTTTATGCAGATTTCAGTGAGAGGTGTAATGGAGTTATCTCATTTAAGTTGCAAGTTTGTGCACTAAAAGAGATTTTTGTTGCTCCATGTGACAAATTTTTCTTCCAAAAGTGAATTTATAAACATAATCTTCAAAATTGTGATTTTATCATAATCTATCCTTCTTTGCTTTGCAGCCCACTTTGTATTTGTCAGTACAGAAATGTTACATTTCCTATTTTGCTCTTTTGTGTTTTTTTCCAGAGAGCCAACCAGAAGAAAAATCTGAAAGTGGCAGCTATGGTGAGTGTGGACACTTTCTTTGAAACACTGCAGTAATGACTTAAAACTGAGGCTTTTCAGTTTTACTTTTCAATAAATTGGTAGCTAAAAAAAAAACAAAGAAAGGTCTGTTGTATTTCTAGGGCAGCGTATCATAAACTTCTGCAACCAGAAGCTTAAATTATTAATACTTTTATTTAAATGGGAAAAAAATTATGGAGGAGAGCACTAAAAATGTAATGTTTTATGGAATGTCATTTTAGATTTATATTTGGTATTTCTTATCTTTTTTTTTTTTTTTTTTAGGCCTTTTAGCTTGGCTCCTTTCATCCTGGTTGGAAAATTTGTAGATTTCCAAATCTTGTGTTATTTGATTTTAATTGCATAGACTAATTAGTCTAAATTATGGCATTCTAGCATTGTACTTCATTCAATTTTTCTAACGCTTGAGAAAGATTTATCAATTCCTTGGAAAGAGTCAGAAATTCTTCGTTCACTCATGTAAAATGCTTCTGTTAGGTAGGATATCAGGCAGGCTTAGGAATCAAAAGATTTTGTTTGAAATCTAAGCTAGTCTCTGCAGGCTTCCTTTACAGCAAGGAGGAAGGAGTCAGCTCCATGAAATAGCTGAGAATAAGAGGGAGAGGTGCAAGTGCAATTCCCTAGCAGCTCAAGCAGAACCCTCTTGAGGTCAGTCCTAGCTCCCTTCACTTCTGCTGAATCCTTTGGGCTTACATTACTGAAATTGCCAGATATGTACATGACAGCATGAAAATCTTAGTGTCAAGTAGCATTCAATAAAAATTCCCTTTTTGCTTTTATGAAAGAATGAGATTTCAGAAAGGTCATTAATGAACTAGTGCAAATAAGTGGCAGGTTTAGAAGGAGCCTGCGATCCTGGGCAACTAGACATGGCTAATGCAGTGTGTATATAGACACATCTCAGTCTTGTTTGTAGGATTACCTGTGATGCATACAGATTTAATTGTACCAACACTAAGAATAAGGAATGGCAGAGGCAGTAGATGAACTGGAAAGAGTCTTACAATCCCCGTCCTTCTTTTTAAAAGGAATTCCTAAACATAAGTATAATGCTAATAGTCTTTCACATTGTCTTCTGGATGTGTTTTTTTGTACACTGTAGCATGAAGATGTCTGTTTCTTGTGTTTAGCAGTTTATTCCAGATAGTTGTTAAAGCCCAATCACTGTAACTATAAGTTAATTGTGATATGACTTTCAGGTTATGAAGGGCTACTTTCTAGAGATTGGTATTGTATACCACTTGAACACTGAGACTCACTGCCATGGGAGGTTGCATTTAAAGGAGCTCACTTCTAAAATGAGTCAGCATATCAATACTTACGTTGCATTTCTCTGGTATTTCTATGTAGCTGTAGGCATACATGCTTGTTTGTGCTTTGCAGTTGTTTTGTTCAGTTTTGTTCTGGCTTTTCATGTGAATGATTAAGTTGTCTGCATCTCACTCTTTCTGCTGCTCCTCATCCATGGTACGTTGTGTAAGATGACTGTATATATTTAGTTGCTTTTGTTGCGTCAGTGAGGAGAATGAGCAACTGCATGCTGGGCACTGTTTAAATACACTGACAAGATAAAGTGCCAAACTCATCTGATAGAATTAAGCTGGTTGGGGATTCAGTTACTAAATGATGGTAATTGGTTACACCATTTAAAGGCATTTAAAGGAAGACTCTTAGCCATCGGTTACACGTACTGGTTTGGAATTTGTTTATTCACTTTTTTTCCCAAATGCATCATGGAACTCAGATGACCTTTCCCTAACTACCCTTCAAGTAATTCAGCTTCTTCAGTCCTCCATTTCACTGCTGGTCTATTTTATCTTGTCCCACAATAAGTACTTTTGAGGCAAAGATGATGTCTTGTATACTTTTGTGTATTATTTTAGCATAACAAGACCCATTGTGACTACTTTTAGATGTTTCTGCAATAAAATTTATTTGTACCTAGAAAGTAAATAAAGGAAGTGAATGAGACAAATAATACAAGGAGATCCTTTGATTTACTTCCTTAAGATTTTAACCAGAATTTTTGCTTTAGGAGGATACTGTAAATCTTCAGAACTTATTTTATAGATCATTAGCATTACGTATGATGTTTGTAGTAACATTTATAATTGGATCAGTGTTGCCACAATACCTAATACTGTACAGAGAGACAACACAATACTGGTTCAGACCAAAGATCATGTACCCAGTATCTTGTCCTCAGTGGTGCCTAAGAATTTATGAGAAGAGGATAAGAACAACGTAACAGCATTGTGGTGCTTCCCTAGGAATACTTCTTCCAGTCTTTAATGATGTAAAGAGATCCAGACCGAGCAGTGATGGCATTTTATTTAGTAGGCCCTCTTCGATTTCACTTCTGTGAAGTATCCCTGTTGGTTTTTGAGCCCATGTAACTGGTTCCAACTTTGAATGATGTGAAGGTTGTAGTCAAAATATTAAGGAATTAAGGTATAACATCAAACAAGTTTACCTAAAAAAAAATGTGAGCTCCTTTCACATATTCAGTTTGATAATTTGAGATCAACAGTGCTCAGGGATTCAGCCAATGTTGTTCAGTGCCTGGAGCCAGGTTTTTGTTGAATGTGAAAGGAAGGTAACAGGTAAGATGTCAACTAAAGGAAAGAGAAATGTGAATTGGTCCTACTCATTCCTATATGACGCTGAGCAACATCATATATTTTCTGAGCAACTAATTTAAACCCAAATACATGTACGTAGATCTTGTTGGCTTATAGATTCTCTTGCACCTCCCTATAAGTGCTGTCAGTGACGACAGAAGCTGTGAAAACCAAGCATTTCTGCCAGGTGAAGTGTGACCTGTGCTCCAACCTGCCCCCAGATGGAAATACCCCAAAGCTGCTGTCTCTAGCACATATGGTCTTTCAGGCATGGTATGGTAAAGAAATGTGTTCTCTTGTGTTGTCCTCTTGGAGGTGTGTTAAAGTTGCCTGGGCAGCAGCTAATTATAATATTACTGAGGCTTTGAGAGCATCATTTGGAAAGCATAGCTAATCTTTCATAGGGAAGTGTGTGTCAGCTGTGTATGGAAACTCCAGGTGCATATTTTTTTCAAGGACACGTACATCAAGGAATATCACATGTATTTAGCTCTTGAACCCACTTCAAGCCAGTTGCCTCCCGTTGTGTTTAAATTTCATCTCTTAAAATGTTTGACATAAGGTCATGGCAAACAGCAGCCATCAGAACTTAACATGCTTTAGGACAAGGTTAGTCATCTCTTTCCCTGTGCCTGCCAGTGAGTAATACTAAAGCCTACTAGTGAGAGGAGAAGCACCATTGGGACCATTTATTGGACTTTGGGTAAGAGGACTAAATTATCTGAGATGCTGCAGACAATAGAACATGAACCTAGTACTAAAATTTTGCCAATTGTGAGCATACATGTTTGACTGCAGACACAAATATGTAACATTTGAATTGTCTGCAGATGATGATAACTTGTTCCATTTTCTGATGTAATAAAAAAAATCGGGTACTGATTATACATGTGTTGGAATACTTAAAATTCAGTGTATGTACTTCTATTAAATGCTGAACTGCATGCAGTAAACCAGCTGTTTTTTGTTAAGGACACAGACTTTTTACATTATGGCAGAACTGCATGAAGCTGCTACGTGCACATTTGATTTTAATCTACTTGAAAGTGGTTAGTATATATTAATTGTACTCCAAAAGTAAAGCTTTAAAGGGAAGAATGATCATCAGCAGTAAAGGAGTAATTATTTAAATGCTGGCAGAAACCTCAGTATTGAAGATAACTTAATTACAGAATCTGTCATTTTCAAGCCACAGAAGCAGTTTTTGTCTTGGAAATGTAACTTTTTTTTTTCTTTCTGTTGGCAGGTAAATGCAATAAAACTTAAATTACAGGCTTCTTGGTAGTATTCCAGGAATCACAATAAGTAATGAGGCTCCATTTGTTGCTGTTAATATACACAGAGAGGCAACCGTTTCTCTTTCAAGGTAGTCTGAGTCTATTATACTGGGTAAAATAAATATTGTGGATATCCAAGTGGTAGAACAGTATAAAGGATATGGATTTAATGTAGATTAATATTAATTGGAGCTGATTTTTATTTTAACTTGCATAAATACTGTCTTTAATGTCTGTTTATCTTAGAATACTGTATGAATATTATAGTATTTATCTTCTTGACTTAGAATTCCTGATGTGTTTAGCCTGCAGTCATTTTATTGCATTTATAGTTTGTCTCAAACTCATTTAAAAAAATACTATAAGAAATTAAATGTAGTGAACTTCACAGCTTTCAGTACAGACCTATAATTTTATTGTGCAGGCTCTATTCTGAGAACAGAACCCAGTATGAAACAGTGGGAGTCAATGCCCCAAGCATATTCCCTCCTTCAGCTGTGCCAGTGTCCAGTTTGTTGGATTACATTGCTGAGCAGTACACTTTTGGCTTGTATTGGAGGTTTTGGGCTTTCTTTGTGACTCTCAAGTAATCCCAGGAATTTCAGCCACGTCTGATCTTGCATACCATGACTCCACAAGTAGTTGTCTTTTCTGAGAAATTTTGCTGATTATTGGAGTTCATCTACTTGCCAGCATGATTGCATCACTGGAGTCCATCATCAGTCCTTTGCAGCATTAGAGGACTAAATTAAAGCCTTAGGTGATGGTTTAAAGGGGCAGAGAGAGAGATCAAGAGCTTGCTGCCTTGACCAGTACAGGGCTGATATGTAGTGGATGTAAAACTAGCAGGAAGCAGTTTCAAAGCAAACATGAAGTGATTCTACACTCAAAATGTAATTAAGCTGCTGAATTCCTTGCCAGAAGATGTGTTTGTAAAGATACTTTATGTTAAAGGCTTTCACAACCAAAAAGACGTGTAAAAAGAATATCCACTGAAAGGTCTGGAGATTAAGAAGACATCTGATTCTAGTCTAGAGACTCACAAATGCCTGATGGTGGCTTGGTGTGTATCTAGGGTGAG